TGTAAAAACTTCAATTGAATTTCAATAAAGTTAAAGGCATGGCCTCACTGTTAATATTTAAAAAAAAAAAAAAAAAAGAATATCTTTATACTCTAGCTGATTATTCAGAAGAGCATCAAACAGGAAATTTTATTGCCAATAAAATTTCAGATATTATTAAAAAAATAGGTTCTCACCATTTTGCGGCAATTGTAACTGATAATGGATCTAATGTACACATTGCACAACAAACTATCCATTACAATTATTCTCATATCTTAAATGTCCATTGTATTGCTCATGCATTAAACCTGTTAGCAGTAGATCTTGTAAAAACAACATTAGTTAGAAATGTTTTAAAAAAAGCTAATATGCTAGTTTTATTTTTTCAAAAATCACATTTAGCAAACCACCTTCTACAGGATACTGTTTTATCTATAAATATTAAAAGTGATTCATTAGAGACATATAGTGAAACACACTGGGTATCTATTTATGATATAATGAATTTTATTATTCATGTTAAGTTTGCAATTAATAAGGTTTATAAATTAAATTTTGTTATTTAACAATGCCAGATAAACTCTATTCTTTGATAATTCAGTTTTAAAATAGAGTATAAGTATTGTCAAATAAAAACCTGACTTAAAATCAGGTATTTATTTGGTGGCACTCATATAATAACATGCCTTTAATAATAATAATAATGTAATTATTATAATTATTATTTTAGATTCTTGAAGAACAACCAAATATATTTATCAACAAAGAAGTATTTGAAATTGCATTCGATGAAAATGATAGTTTCTATCCTTTGTGCAAAAGAATTGTTCTAATTTTTGAACTAATCAAACAAGTAATCAATTTGCTTAAAAGTCATATAGCAACTTTGGCTGATTGTTTTATAGGAATAGTTCAAATAGCTATTGCTCTTAAGAAAATACCCACTAGTAACAATCTTCGCACTCTTGCTATTGCTGTATTCAATACTCGATATGAACAATTCGACATTTCTTCATATCTTCTAACTTATTTCCTTCATTTCAACTACAGAAATAATGGTTTAAAAAGAAAGTTCTATAATATTTGTGAATTGGCAGTTAGTTATTATAAAGATATGCATCATTGTGAAAAAAAATGTTGTGAATTAGTAAGTTAATTAATAAACTATAAAGCAAAAGTTACATCTTAGAATATTGAGTTTTCTTCCAATTTAATGCCTGCAACATGGTGGGAAGTTGTTGAAGATAAATATAACCACTTGCAAGAACTAGCAAAAACTATGTTTGCAATTGTACTCTCTCAAACCAGCTGTGAATGAAATTTTTCTATTTTGAAGTGGTTTATTGAAGAACATCGCACATGGCTTCAAGTTCCAAGATTAGAAAGTATAACACAAATCTACTCCTTTTATGTATCAAACTTTAAAAAAAAATTGAAATTTTATGATAATAATTGTGTGGAGACGGAATTATATAATAGTGTATTAAATGAAATGATCTTTGCAGAAATGAATAATGTTGAATTAAATAATAAAAATAAAGATGAATTAGAAATAGTAAACCTCATAGCAAATGATATTACAATGGCTCTTCAAGATTTAGTAGATCTATCAGATCCAGTATTTGGAACAAATAATAATTAAGAAGAAATTACATTGTTCAATAGGAAAGAAACAAATATAGAATTTGAGTGTATGTTGTTAGTTCAGAATGCATTAGGTGATAATGATTTGTATGAATAATATTATATGCATTCATCTTGTATTTTGAATTTATTCAAGTTTTTTTTTTCTGCTTGAATAAAAATAATAAGAATTATTTTTTTTTTATATCTTTAATTAAATGTAACTCAACATATTGGATGAGATAAAATCATTATATGCCCAACATACCCAACATAGGAACAATTTGGTAGATAACAACTAAATATGATGTATTGAACAAAGCGATATATTAGATCAAATAGTTACATTAAATATGTATACCATTATATAATCTTTCCATCATTGATTAATCTTAATCACATATGATTATTGTAACTCTGTTTGAATTATGAATAAACTGTACCGAAACCTTGCTATAAGACTGTTAAAACTTGAATATAAAAAAACATTTTTAATAAGTTGGTACACTGTAATCATGATAGTGGGCTCAATTATAAAAGACAAACTTTTTACCTTCAATTAGATTAAGTAAAATTTGTATAAAATTTGTATAACCATCTATTAGATTAGGTAAAGTTTGCATAACCATCGATCTGATTTGCATTTTTTATTTGGAATAAATCCCAAACCCAGTTTTTACATATTAAAAATTTGGAATTCTTAGTCGAAATATAAATTACATGTCAAAATTATTTGACATTATAAAAAATTAAGAGCATTTTACAAAATTTAGTAAATACTATTTGGGTTTCTACCTAATCCTAAACTAACAAGTTTGGGATACAACTCTAATTACAACTATAGGGGGCAACTATAAAAAGAGTATACAACTAGCCACTTATACAACTTTAGTTATTGTCTAATTTAAGTAGTCTGCTCAAAGGTTTTATATTAGTTGCTATACCTGAAACCTGCCTGTAAATTTCTTATTTAACTACTCTAGTTTCTATATTCATTTATCTATCTCTGCCTATCAATGATCCTGGCTGATGCTAGTAAAAATATGCCATGGCCATTAAGTCTTTAAAGCAGTTCACTCACATGAAGAACCTTTAACCTTGTACTAAACTTTCTAGAATCTTCTGTAGTTCATTCTTATAGCTAACCTAATATCACTATAGCCAAAACCAATACTAGCAGTCAGGATATACTATTAAACTGTTATGTTCATGTAAAGCTTACTCCAACCCCAGTACTGACTTTACAACATATTCCTACTACTTTGGTATTCAATTTAAGTTCCACTAAGCTTCCAAACCAGATAGCCCAAAAAGGCAGATTGTAACTATACACCTCTAGTTTACATATTTGCCAACATGTAACCTTTTCCTTCAGAACAGGTTCTGGTGGCCTGGTTGGTTCCATTTAGCCCCACCTTAAAGACCAGCTCTGTACCTAGTTTTATAAGTTCTAGTTTTGTTTTATAGATCTAGTTTTTATAGTAGCATCATTAAAGATTCAGGTTACTTTTTTACTTAGATCTTCCAAGTGGGTTTCTGTCTTTCTATCTGATTCTTATAATTTACATAACCTAAGAGCTTATCTTGGGTTTACACTACCTAGTACTGGTTTTTGTTCCTTCATACAACATTGCACAAATACCTAGATCTTTCAGTCATACTAGTATGACACAAATTACAGGTGTCTTATTCTAACCAATTATAGAAGACAGTTAACTATAATACAGAAAAAATTGCAAATTTTTACTATCTCTAGGATTTGAACTCTAGACCTGCCACTTGGAGGTTGACAACTTATCCACTTCACTAGATTACTACACCTTCCAGAATAATAATTTTTATTAGTAACACTTTTGCAATTTACTTATAAAAATTTAGACATATACAAAGTATAAAATTTTTTTTAGCTTCAGAAATATATGAAATCTTAAAAAATCTTAAAAAATTTTTAATAGTAAAAATTTTTAAATAGAATCTTTAAAATTTTAATATATAAAAGTTATTAATATTTTAAAAATTTTTTTATAATAAATTTTATAAAATATGTTCTTAAGAGTATGTTTTATAAGCAAAGTATATACTATATTATTAATAAATTATTATTTTATTTAAAAATACTAAATACATTTTAATTTTTTAAGCAAATTTGTCTAAAATACAGTTTAAGAGATAGTAACATCTTCAAGACTACATTTATTCAAAGTACTTAATATATTTAAAACTTTTAGAACTACTTTATTTTTAACAAATAATCTTTTATATCTTATATATAGCTAATCTAGTTTTATACAATATGTTATAGTTAGACTAACACTTGTAGTTATATATATTATTTATTAAATTACTATGTTACTTTTTTTTTTTCTAGTATTAAGATGAAGTTATACTTCTAGTCTTTTATTAATATATATTGCTATATATTATACAACTTATATATATCTATTTTAGAATATAAAACTTAAACATATTTATCTATACTCTAAACCTACTAGAGTTCTTTTTTTTATATTTAAACTAGTCTTTTGAAGACTAGAGCTTTTTTATTCAGTATTATAGGACATGATAACTCATAGTCTGATTATCTCAGAGAAGCTACCTTACATTAGAGAGTACATCTAGCCACACGTATACTTTTGGTGTCTAATTTAAGTAGCTTACCTATATATAGATTCTATACTAGCTGCTATATCTGCAACTCAACTACAGGTGTTGCCTATTTAAACCCTCTGTACTGCAATTTTTACTGTTATAGCTAGAACATTTTCATTACATGATGTTAGTCAAGAAGTTCTAGATGCTTACCTATATCCTTAGGACCCCTGTCTTATTTCATACAGATTATCCTCAAGACATCATTACTAGAGCCTTCTGTATCCCAAGTTATAGCTAAACCTAGTTTACAACCCTTGCGAAGTTTATACAATCCAGTACCCTCCTTTTACAACCTTACCATTACCTTGTCTACTCTTGCAAGTCCTCCTATACTACCAATCCAGTTAGCCCTGCATGATGTGACTTCATGCCCAGATCAACTAGTAGCCAGGTTGGTAGATTCTCTACCTAGAAGTTCTTGCCCATACAGATCATTTGCCTTAGGTTTTTTTCAGCAGATCAAGATCTTTATAGATGGTATCATCAAAAGTTGTACTATCTCTCTATTCAGGATTTCCAAGCAGGCTTCTAATCTGAGTATATATTTTTCAGATTTATTTGTATAACATTACACACTTTCAAAGTTAGTCTTGGTATAACCAGGATTACAGGATCTACAAACCTCAGATTACAGATAAGTTTGCTGGAATAGGTCTATTTTTCAAAATCTGTCATTGATAGAAATTGAACATTGAATCTACTGCTTAGAGGATGACAACCCAACCACTACACTAGAATTGCCATTCTTATCTACCAGAGTTCTGTATTATGTACTATCTATATCTAATCTGAATTTTGCTTCTTATCTAATTATATTAGATAATCTGTATATTCTTTCTATATCTTATAACTTATTTTTAATAACTTCCAAATTGGTCTGCTAGGTCATTTGCTTTTTTGAACTATTATCTTTGGTGTATTTAAAAGATGCTTTCTTTAGTATATATCTCAAACCAGAGCTCTGCTGCCACTGCTAACTTTTCTAATTTAAATACTAATAGCATATATCTTAAGCCAGATATTTGCTACCATTGTTAGGTTATATCACTATTTAGTTTTAGTATTATTTTTAATAGATTGTACATCTAATCTGCTTCTTAAATACTTCTTTTTATAATATAAATAAGTTATGTTTTAAGTAACCTCTTCTAGCTATTGGTTATTATAGTATTACTACTACTTTTAATTTTAAATATCTTAACTCTGATTAGTACAACATTTATATTGATATATTCCTTTTTGTTTTATTATAGACTTCTATATAAGTATGATCAGTGCTTTAGTTTGGTACTTTTAGATATACAGAATAGGCTATCTTTTCTATACAGTATAGTTACCTTTTATTTTTAGATATTTCATAACATCAAAGGTGCTTCTAATTTTAAAACAGCTAATTCTTTATTACAGATTTTCTTTGCATACATTACTTTTTTTACTACTTTAGTTTGTATTATCTTAGATATTACTCTTCCAATCAAGTTTCTCTTATTAGCTTTCTTTTTAGTATATACTTTTTGAATTTATTCATGTATTTTTTAGACACACTTCCAAAAAGTTTTGGTACAATCAGAATTATAAGGTTATAACTCCAAATGTCTTATCCAAGTTGCTAGTAAGTACAAAGATGTTAGTACTACTTTACATCTTCTAAAGGACTTATTTGCACAATTCTTTGTATAACAAAACCTTTTGTACTTCTATTATATACTGTTAACTTGTAGTTTTTCTTTTAACTACAGTAATAACAGAAGCTGCTCAACTATAGTATGATGATTATAACTTGACAGGTTCTATACAAAAGTCTACACAAGACTTAATACAATACAGAATGATTTAAGATTTTAAGGCAGAGGCAACAATAGATAGTATATGAAGATACTA